GTGATGACATCACTAGAGTGGGAGCTCAGAGAAAAATCACACAGTAAATCTTTTTTTAACTTGTCGCCCTGGCCACAGTTTTTATGCCACAGACATCATTTTTACATCAAAACGTAGAAAAATATATCCTCCTGCTCACAATGTCACTTTGGAAGCACACAGAATTAAGTTTGGGGGAGATTTGTGGCCTTGTTCCTCCAAAAGTCTCTCTTCCTTCCCCATCTGCACCCATTCAAAGACAGCTACTGATCTTTCTCAAGAACCAGAAATTTACACATTTCTTCTCAAATGATTGTGCGCTCATTTTTTACTCTACGAAAACAAAAAATACATCTCTGTAATTCCCAAGGTCTTGGCTTTCTGACAATGTGCTCGGCTTTTCTCTCTGACACACAGTTTTGACAAAAATGGCGGCTGTTTGAGGTCTTCTCCTTCTGGTTTCTTCTCCTGATTTGACAGTTAAACCAAGTATCAGCTGTGTGCTTCGTTGCCCGGCAACACTCTCACCCTACTCCCAACCCCCCCTCCCCTCCTGCTCTCTCCACACAGATGAGGCTTCGGTTGTTCAAAGTTATTAGTAGGTTTGGTCATTATAAAATCATCTTTTAAATCCCAGCAGACTCCCGTGGCACTCTCAAATTTTCTGCAAGGAAATTTTCTAGTTGATTACTGTCATTGCAAATTTCTTTGCATGACAATAAAAGAACAAGCTGTATAAAATGTGCTAATAAGATAACAACCCTACTATGCTATTTCCACCATCTGCTAACACCTATAGCATGCTAACAGCACTGAGGTAAAACATGCTACAAAAATTATGAAAACTGCTCATAATAATGTCATGTCAATAATTTTACCAGGCTAGTATCATTCTCAACAAGCTGTAATACCCACTAAAAGCAACAGCACGCTAATAAGGCCATCAACTAACAGTATAACAAATAACCCCAATGTGTTATACAGTTTGCTAACAAAATGAATATGTTAATTGCACTAATAATATATGTTGATGGATCTAACACACTAATCACAACATCTGTTGATAACTTAAAACTAAAATGCCAGTGGATGCCAACAATGCTAATACTGACATGCCAATAGCCGACACAGTCATAAACATTAATTTCACTACACCATGCTAATAAAAATGACAAAAATAATTCTGCCAAAACACACTCAAATGCAAACAATAACAATATTACGTCAATAATATTTTCACACCAATATCACTCCAAAAAAAAACTTAACACAACCCAAACCTCAACACCACCTAAAGCTGGCATGCTAATAAGGCCAATGTACTATATGCTAACAAACCTGACATGCTAAATAACATGCTCCGTACATTAATATGCTTGTACCACTACATGCTAATGGGTGGCTAACAACACTGTCTGCTAATTACCCTCAAATGCTTAGAAATAACGTATTCTAGTGGCACTAAGATGCTTAATGTGAAACGTTAATGCTAACCTGATAATTCAACCCTTTTTTGAATTGCCCCTTATTTGAATTGATTCTAAAACTTCTGGGCTAATATATAGCTAAAATGTTAATAACGATCTTGTGCTAGTAACACTGTCATAAACATTAGCTTAGCAGACTAGCAATGCTTACATGCTCATAAAACACCTTGATGTCTGATAAACTTCCAACATCACGGTATCTACAGCTAACAAGCTAACACTTTGTAGCGGACGGACACTTTTAGTGACGTGTTTCATAAAGTCAAGCAGTGAAACTACTCAAGCATAAAAACATGGATTTTCAAAACAAAGCAGTTTGTAGAAACATCAGGAGTCGCTGTAAGAAACCCAGATGAGTGGTGTGTGTGTGGGTGGATGACGTGGACATATAAGCTGCCGCTGTGTTATTTCCTGCTTTCTTCCTGTTTTCTACAATTGTCAGTGTGTGTCCATTGTAAGTGAGCAGTCTGTGTGTTGTGCCGGGTTCAGAGGTCGGCTGCTGGTGTCCAGACGAATCAAAGACTTTCACCAGGAGGTCACAGATGAACCAGTTAGGCTTATAGTCAGGCTTAAAATAGAAATAGACTGAGTACACCAGCAAACTAAAATATACTCATACAACAAATTATCTTGGTACAGATATGTTGCATATGTTGTTGTTTTAGGCTCACGTGTGGATGAATATTTCATGCCAGTTTGCATCACTAACATGGAAGCTGTCTGCAGAGCTACACACGAACAAAACAGCATCCAGAACTTTTTTCAAAGAACATTTAGATACCGGCAACGATACAAGAGTTTAATCTGAATAAAGCAAATTAACAATAAGTGACAGTTACAATTAGATGTGTAAGCGTTAAAAAACACCAAAGTTTAATCACCTTTAATGACAGACTTTGGCTAAAGTGAAATGTCCACCTGCACACTGTGAAAACTAAACCTCATGTTAAGCTTTTATTCGTTTGGAAAGTTGAGTCGGCCAAATTATAACATATGTTTACTTCACTTCTGTTTTTAAGACCTTTCTTAAATGTAATTGAACAGCTAACAGCTCGCATCAAACTCACAGCTGAAGTCAGTATTCCCAATATCTCAGCCCAGGTTATGTTGCTCATATTTGTTTCATGACTCTGATGGCGCTGGTGAAAAACTGACTTGAGGGACAGTTTCAGTGCATGAGGTAGGACTGACTGTTAGGCCCGTGCATGTATGCGCCTCCATCAGATCAACGTGTCGTCCTGTGTGCTTACCGGAGTTGCTGAGCAGGTTGCTGAGGCCTTCCTCCAGCTGCAGGTCGATGGGAGAGTCTCTTCCCGGTTCCCAGTCCACGTCTCCAGCCTCGCTCTCACCGTGTCCGCTGTCTTTGGTGCTCTGCCAGTCAGAACAGTCCTGACCTCCATATCTGCACACAAACATGACAAACATTCAAACTGTCTGATTCTGAAGTCATGTTGTGTCTTCAGTTGGGAAAAGTTACTTCTTGTTTGTAACTTTTCAGTTTGTGTTGCCTAAAAGAACAGCGTTGGCACTCGGTTTGATCCCATGTATTAAAGCTGTAGCCTGCTTCTTGTTGTAGGAGCAGCTTTTGAAAAGTAAACGTCCTTAAAATCTAAGAACATCACGAATGATGTAGGACACAATTTATAATAAACAGAAATTAACACGTCAACTAAAAGAATGAACTTTTAGGAGTAACCACACAGATGTTTTATTCCCAAACACCATGAATCACAACAGACAAAAGTGTCGGATCAATCTGAAGATAAGAAGCCAGAGCGTTGGTGTGTTGGAGATAAAAGACAGGTGATAACATTCCTGAGGTTTTGGATGACAAATCCATTGATAACCACACAGCTGCAGTCAGGCTCAGACAGGAAGTGCCAGGCAGACGTTCGAGCTCGTTGTAACCTGGTCCTGGAGATTTAATCACCATGACTTCATCACATATGAGCGTTTTCTTTTTTGACGACATGACTAAATGTATGACAGTTAAACCACTTTCTTTATCTGCCAAAGACATTCACAGGTATGATCAGGTGTGTGTGTGTGTGTGTGTGTGTGTGTGTGTGTGTGTGTGTGTGTGAGAAACAGTGCCCTGTGTGTATCAAGGTGATGTCAGATCTGATTTCATCGCCGCGGTGACGCTGATGGAGCTGCATCCTGTCAGAGGCTCTGAGTCACTCGGATGGAGCTGCTGCAACCTGCCTCCACTCACACTCGGACACGCTGCCGGGTTAGGAGACACTCTTCCTGTGACATTGACTGCTGGACTTTGTGTCCTGTTTGTCTGCTGCTGTTATTTCAGTCACAGCGGGTCAGTCGGTCAGAAACACTGAGGAAGGACGTTTATCAGCTTTAGCTGCTGCCTTTCACCACATCCAGTAAAAGTAAATGTTCCAGTTGAAGGGTTGGTGTGATACCAGTGCAGCGTTGAGCCTCCACAGGGAGGAGGCCTCTGCTGGCTTTGTGGCAGTGTGCACAGCAAAGGTCAGACAAGAGGTTCAAACATGGGGGAGTTTCATTCAAATTAGGAAGCACCAAGAGGTTTTTTTTAGGAGAAAATCCTGTGAGTTTGTGGCTAAAAGCAGATGTTTGGTTAATCTGACAACAACATGAGAGCCTTCTGGTTGTTTGTTTCCTGAAGGCAGCAGTCACATGAACAGTCGGGGTGTGATGGTGCACTGAGTTCACCGTTAAGAACATTTTCACCCATTTTGTAGGTGATCATACCTTTAAATCATTCCCACGCATCAAAGCAGCTCTTCTACCTTTCAGTAGTCGGCCACATTAATGGCTCTACATGATGACCTCCTGTCACTAAGAAATGCATAAAATACATGTTTTTGTTATTTATCTTCAAAAACAAAGTAGAAAAAATATCCATCCATCCATTATCTATACACCACTTTATCCTCTGTAGGGTCGAGGGGGTCTGTCCCAGCTGACTCAGGGCGAAGGCAGGGGACACAAAATAGAAAAACCTATGACATTACTGTATCAGCTGTGTGGTTTTAGCTTTATAACGGCACAACATGACTCATACATTAAGTATAATGTAGTAAAACATGAAGTACAATAGATTTGGTCGGTGGACAAAGGTTCATGTCAGCTAACACAGTTAGCCAGCTGAGCTAACTGGCTAGCTGTGTGGTTAAAAAGTCAACCTGCGATCGCCTGTTGGAATTCAAAATGCACATCCGTTGAACGTGCATCAGCGTGACTCTCAAATTTAATTGCGTCAAAAGGTCCACAGTTTGACAATAAAACAGTGATACACCAGATTTAAGACTAACTGAACTAAATAAAACAATGCCGTGCTGTTTGTAAGGCTTGAGCTTGATCTACAGGAGCCCTATTTACTATGAATACGCTAATATATGAACATGAAACATCTTCTGGGTTTAATTAAGTTTGAGCTGATCATGTGCCTGCTTGTTTAACCTTGATTTATGAAAAAGTTCCATCCGTAGTAAACAACAGAATATGTTCTAATGTGCAGCACAACACAACTGGACAAAGTTCAGAAAGCAGAACCCAGCCGGTGCTGCAGGACATGAACTCAGACACACACACGTCTGTGGATGGATCAGACAGTTCAGGAGAAAACAGCTGCACGATTTTACAAATGGTGGCGTTTGTCTTTACTGTCTGTCTGTCCTGCTATCAGAGGTGGTTTGATCAGAGAGCGCAGCAGTGATCACAGCGTGGAGGAGGAACGAACTGACAGCAGGATCTTTGGACTGTTTGGAAGTGAAGCTGCAGGAGAACACGGTCGTCGTGTCTGGTAAACTTCTGAAAACTTTTTTATACTGCAGTCTAAAATGCTCAGATGAAAACCTTTTAAGAAGACAGACTGTGATATAATCACTGTGGCGTCATGTGGATCAGACAACACCTTCATGACTGTGTCGGCGGTGAACTCCCATTAACCAGCCGCAGACTGACCTCAGCTTCTCTGTTGGTTCATCAAACCAGGAGACGGACAGTGTGAGGTCCTGCTCACCACGATGTGACGTTATAGTAAAATTAAACTTAATTTAGACAAAAATGAAACATAATCTACTAGGATTGCCTGCCTTATGTTGAAGCAACAAACTCTGACTTATTCACATCAAATAACAAACAACAAACACATGAAAACCTGCTGAACAACAAACACTGCCAGCAAGCGGCTGGAAGACACACTGAGCATAAACACTGATGTGAGTGTGTAGAAGTGGTGAAAATGTGAGTAGTAAGATATCTATAGTTGTTACAGTATTGGACAAACGCAGTGACTCCAGATGTTAAACATGATTTATGGCGTTCTAACTGTGTGTCCTACTGCACAGAAGACACTTCTGAGCTCTCTCTACTTATAGCCATGTTTGTTCTGTTTCCATATCGGTGCAGGACTTTATATCGTAGTAAAAAAAAACAAGAGAGAGAATTCAGTGAGTAAGAAATGTGGCCGGAGCAAAAACCAAAGAGTTCAGAGAGTTGACCGATAGGTGAGACTGTAAAACATGAATGTAGAGACATTCACAGGAACGAGTATTTTTTTAAAACAGTACAGATATTTAGGTTTTGTTCATTTGAAGCTAATTCAACTTAAAATGTAAGAAATTTCAAACATGAGCTGTTATAGTTTTAGGTCTTCAGAGACCAGTCCAGGGACTTTTTTGTGTGAAGTTTGAAGCACCTACTCCTCATATAGAAAAGCATGCTGGCTGTACATGAAGTCCTGCTTGTGTCTTCTCAGAGCAACGACACAATGACAGCCACCACAAGGCACATTCATCATCAGCTCTTTAACTTGACAAGGAAAGTGTGGGACTAAAACGTTGATTCAACTTTATATCATGAGTTTATTGTCCGCTAACCTTTGTTTCTTTGTTTTTTTAGGTTGAGTTGAGTTAATGCACATCTTTAAGACAGCACAGGATCTTATAGCAGTGAATGTATGCTAGGAAATGCTGATAGTGCTTAAAGAGAATGAATGAGAGGGAATCACAGTGTTTAAACAACTGCTGATTTATGAGCTGCTGGTGTGGCCTTGTTGTGTCTGCAGCTCAGAGGAGGAGGAGGAGCGTGGAGGGACGTACAGGAGAGGAGGAAGAGGAGGAAGAGGAGTCAGACTGACCTGCCGGTGCGATGAGAGTATTTGTTTCCTCTGAAGTTTGGCCTCGGCTGCAGCTGACCCTGACGGAGGAGAGAGAGGAGCTGGGAGATCTGCTGCAGGGCGAAGAGGAGGAAGAGGAGGGAGAGGAGGGAGAGGAGGGAGAGGAGG